CATCATCATCATCATCATCATCTGAGCTGAGTTCAATCTCATCAATATCAACATCATTTGATGAATGATTATTTATATATTGTGTTTCATTTTCAATAAGTAAATTATTTGATTGTATAATTATTGGAAATGATGATATATCAGTATTATTTACTATATGACTTTTATCGAGTGAAGGTACTTGTCGATCATTTTCATTTGTATTTGAAATGACTTGATCTTGTGGATTATAATTTGGAATTGTTGGTTGTTGTTGATGATGATGATGATGAAAGAATGGTGGTGGTGGCGGTGGTGGAGGTAATAATGGAACTGGAAATGAAGAAAACTAGAAGAAGAAAAAGGAATTTTTTATATTCTAAATTTACAGTTCGATTGAGAAGTTCATTAAGTCCCTCATAAGATATGTCACTATGTACCAACTCGAATCATTAGCAAACTCTAAGTAGTTCGTTATTATTACTTGTGTATTCGATGTTTGACAATTTTGTGGTGTCATATATCCTTTAAGACGATCAAGCATTTCGATTTTAAGTTGTCGTTCATTATCATGTGTATTATTTGTAGTTGAAGGACTATTTAAAAAGAACCATTAGAATTTATATTATAGAGAAGAATATTGAAATTATTTCATACGTATTTTTAATATCTTGTAAGAGTTCCTCAATCTCTTTTGATGTAATTCGACCAATTTTAAACAAACGTATAAAATCATACGTAACGTTAAGTAAACTTCGTGATTCATTCATCTGTTCACATAAATTACCATAATACAGACGTTTAATTGTAGTAAAAATGTAATTATGTAAAGGTTCAACCGATTGTTTTTGCCTTAATAAAAAAATTTCATAGAATTTTTTATTTATCTAATTCAAGATTAGAGCATCATTGTTGTAATCGGTGTTAATAGCAAATAGTAAAATAAATTGTATTTCAAGAAAGAAGAATTTTATTTCATTTATACAAAGTAGCTTATGATTCAAGCGAATTATTTTAGAAGTAATTGTATATGAAATATTCAAGATTAACAATAGGAAAGCTCTAATATGTGAGCAAAATTGAGAAAGAGTTTTTCGATATTTTTAGCGTTAGATTTTTTGTTGCCTTTAGAAAATATTCTTATTTCACACTAGATTATTTTGCTTTTTCTAGCAATAACTTCTCTATAACATTTTATTGCAATGCTTATTTCCTCCATTATTTACCAATCCTGCCCATATTGTTGACATAAATGACCAAATTGTGTTTGACAATTCTGTTAAACATAAAGAAACAAATCTAATAAATCAATTCGATATAATCTTATTGTTTACTTGTGGTGTTGTATTAATATAATTAGCTAAATCATTAGCTATTAAATCCCATCGTTCTGGATCTAAACCATATTTACATACAGTAAAAGCAAGCATATAATTGGATTTAAAATCCCATTTATGATCAGCCATCTGAAAAGATTTTCTTTTTTTTTTCTTTCGTTTTGTTTTAAAAAAAAAAGTTTTGCATGCACAATAGAATAAATCTTATAAATAATTATTTATATTTAATTCTATCAGAAGCAACATAAAATTCTTTTTCTAATTGTCTAGTTAATGGATTTATTGGAGAAAAACCTATTGGACCACGTTCACAATTTGCACAAACAAGATATTTTGTTTGATTATTGACTGTATTTGAAAATCCAACATTTTCAAATGTAAACATATCTGATACAAGCCAAAATGTTTCTATTGAATCACATACATGATCACTACCATTGATTGATAAACGATTTGTTTCTGTATCAGTTGATGAATTTTTTTCTACATTCATTTGTGGTAATAATGTTGGTTTATTTGTTAGAATAGCTGTTTGTGGACGAAGTATAATATCATCACAAAATGAACACACAATGGTTTGTGTATTACGATCACCAATCGATGGTAAATTATCCATTAAAAGAAATGAAGAAAATTTTTCTTTTTCCTTTTTGTTCTATAATCTACAAAAAGAAGAATTTATTATATGAAGTAATTTTCTACAAGTTACGAAGCAGAAACAGACATACACACATATATTGGAACAGATAGATATCAGAAGACATATAAAACATATTTTTTGAAATTCGAAACTATGCAAAAATAAAGAAAAAAATCTGACTAATATTGAACAAGAAAAAAATTGATGGAAATATTTAATTAAGAATATCAAATAAAGTTGATATATCAACACGTGAACATTGAGGTGATTGATATCGTATTGTATTTTCAATTCCACCAGAAAACGTAAATATATTAAGACCATTTGTTTGATTTGTAATCATATGTTCAATACGTTCATTAGTTGGTATAAGATCATCAAATGTATCTTCATAACGATGAATAGAATTTGGCTGATGGGGAAGATCATCATCATCATCTGGATGATGAGAACATGTCATTTCAGAAGATGGTGCTTGAAGAATAACAGGTTCTTCATATTTATTATTTATTTGTTGAAAAGTAGTGAATGATGAGAGATCATCACTTGATGATATATGACTTATTTTTTTACTATTAGAATTAACAAGACCTAAAGCACGGCGACGTTGAATAGATCCAGGTGTAGAAAATTTAGTTTTATTTGAACGTATTGGTGTTACTATTGTATTATGATACATTTCTAAATCATTCATACTTGTTCTTTTAGTAAATTTTAAATGTTTAAGATTATTTGAATAGAATGTTAGATCATTTCTATTTGCTGATGATAATATATTATCACGTACTATAGAATAGATTTAAGTATATTAAATAATATTATTAAATTTTCTTTTTACTTGGTGTTTTAAATAAAGGAAAATTACAATCATTTTCTTTGCTTTGCGTTGTTGTTGTTGTTGTCATTCTCGTTATTTAACAAGAGATCTGAAATATAAAACAAAAATTTTTTTCGAAAATAAGTTTATAATTCATATCGACTGGTAAACGAATGATTCAAAAAAAGGATATTATTATTTACATAAACTAACGAATAATATCATCATATTGTATGAAATATATATCGCTTCCTCCTTTCGTTTGTTTATGACGAAAGGATGAATCAGTTGAATAT